CATCAGGTTTGAGCAGGATCATAGATGCATGTAGGCATCAAAATCATACCAAGGACACCAGGCCTCTGCTTCCTGGGACTCCTTGAATTTAGTTTCGGCCTCTTTAACCCTTCACAGTCATTATGTAATGTACATATATACATATGTTCATACAGATGTACTTTCTGTGTGATGTGTAATGTGACCTGAGAGCTAATATCAGTAATTAAGATTGGACTTATACCTGTGTCAGCCTTAGCCATCACTTTGGACCACACTTGGAATTTTTTTTTTGACTTTCATGTAACCCAGGGTGGCTTGCAACTCACTGAGCAGGTGGTAAGGAGCAGGACTCATGATCCTCCTGCCTCTCCCTCCAGAGGGCTCGGTCTAGAAGTTGCTTTTGTAAGGTGAGCCTTCATGGTGAAGAGAAAGCATGAGACTTTCAGAACTTAGGTATATTTGGGAAGATCAACAGTTGGTAGATTCTTCCCTACCTCCCTCCTTCTCTGTCAGTCTGTGTGTGTGTGTGTGTGTGTGTGTGTGTGTGTGTGTGTGTAACAGAAATGAAACCTATGCTTTTTGCCTATTAAATAGATCGCTTTATAAACTTTTGCATTTTCTGCATTGAAAATAAACTGGGTGCTCTCCTGTTTGTCTAAGACTTTTTATGCATAATATATGACATGTTGTCTTAGCCCGTTTTCTGTTCCTATAGCAGAGTACCCAGTCAATAATTTACAAAGGAAAGAAGTTTATTTAACTCATGGTTCTGGAGGCTGGCAGTACAAGATCAGGGGGCTCTACCTGGTAAGAGCCATGCGCTGCTGCACCTCGATGCGGTGGAGTGGAAGGGAGAGTGACCAGGAAAACACGACGGGGGGGGGAGTCTGTCTCAGGACAACCTGCTCCATTGGTAGCTGACTCAGCCCTGTGAGAAGTGCATTAGTCCCTCTTCAGGAACTAGTCAGCCTTTTAAAATTCTGCCTCCCGCACTGTCACAACAGCAACACAGTTTCAACATCAGCTTGGGATATATACTATGTTCTAAGATAAAAGTGGTGGGTGGCTTCCTGAATGAAATTTGGATGTCTTGATTACAACCTGTGCCGTGGAAGAAAACTCTGCCAGTGACCCCGGAAGCCCCCCACTTTCTCCTATCCCAATCATCCCCTTACTGTTCGCCTGAAAGTGACCACTGTCCTGATTTCTGTGGTAATTCATCTTTGCTTCTCATTATGGCATGTCAAATAGGCATGTGTTTTTAAACTTTATAATTTGGTTTTGTCAGTCTTTAAAAATAATTTTTAAGATGAAAAAAAAGATACTAATTTCCCTCAGTCTTTGTCCCTCCTTTTCTGTGTAAATTAGTGAGAAAACTAGGTCATTGTTGAAGGGGGATGTCCTTCTGCATATTTCTCTTATTGGTTGATGAATAAAGCACTGATTGGCCAGTAGCTACCAGATGAGGAGAATTCTGGGGAGAGGACTTGAGGAGTGAGCTGCCAGGGAGATGCCATGTAGCCACCAAAGGAATAACAATTCTACAGTAAGCCAAGACTACATGGAGATACACAGTTTAGTAGAAATAGGTTAATAATTAAGAGAGAGCTAGACAATAAGAAGCTTGAGTCATTGGCTAAACAGTTTATAATTAATATAAGCCTCTGTGGCCTGGCGTTGGTGGCGCAGCACTCGGGAGGCAGAGGCAGAGGCAGGCGGATCCCTGTGAGTTCGAGGCCAGCCTGGTCTACTGATCGAGTTCCAGGACAGCCTCCAAAACAATACAGAGAAACCCTGTCTTATGGAAACAAAAAAAGCCTCTGTGTGTTTATTTGGGGCTAAAGGGCAGCAGGACCAGATGCGAAAGAAACTCCATCTACACATTGTCCCAAATCTGGATTTTGCTGAATCTATGCCTGTACATAGCATTTCTTTAAAAAATTAAAATTATTTTGTGTGTTTGGGTATTCTGTCTACATGTATGTCTACACACCATGTGTATCCAGTGCCTCACAGTGGCCAGAAGAACATGTTAGATCCCCTGGAAATGGTGTTATAGATAGTTCTCAGCTGCTGTATAGGTGTTGGGAATAGAATCTGGGTTCTCTGGAAGAGCAGCTGTCTCTCTAGGCACCATAAATAATGTTTTCATGCCCTCTGCATTTCTTGTATGTGCATGCAAATGAACATGCAGACCAGAAGTCAACCCTCAAGGTAATGTTCCTCAGCCATTGTTCACCTTGTATTTTGAGACAGGGTCTCTCACTGGGACTAGGGTTCATTAATTTAGTTAGGCTGAATGACTAGATAGCTCCACAGATCTGCCCATCTCTACCCCTCTAGTGCAGGGATAACAAGCATGACCCACTAGGCTTTTCTTGGTAGGCTGTGTTCGCTGGTGAGTAGAGGCACAGCTCTTTTAAGAGCCCGCTTCTTGGCTCAGTGCTGGAGGCAAAAATGGCATGGCTTTTTGAGAGACTCTGCTACCAAACACTTGAATGGGGGTTGTGAGCAGCAGGTGGCTTGCTGCAAGGTGGCAGCATGGACCCAGAAGTTCCCTAGAACTGGGGCAGTAAATGTGACTCCCCCTCCCCTGCTATGAAGCTAAGCTCCCATATACCCAGGAGAGGGGCAGAGCCAGCCATCAAAGCTGCCACTTTGGTCCTAGGCATGCAGCTTAGCAGTTTAAAGACTCATGTGGTCAGAAAAAGATAGAGATATATAGTAAAGACAAATTCCGACAAAAAAAGTAAACCACCTCTAAATAGTTTACAGTGTGTTTAAAAATATGCACAGGCTTGAGAGAGAAAAGAGGTTTAGACAGACATAAAAATATGCGGTTTTAAAATAATAAAGTCCTTAAAAAGAGAGTTAAGTATTATAAGAAAAAGTCACATAAAGATGGAAAATACACAGAGAGTAGAGATATAGTATGTTGTGTTGTCTTTGAATTGTTTGCTGAGGAAGGAGCAACAGCTGCTAAGAGACATTTGATCACAAATGTTGCTGTATTAATCCAACCCATATATTTAAAAAATATTGACTTCAGAATGTAAGTCAAAAGATATGATACTTTGGGAAAGAGGTTCTGCTTTTATTTCCACAGTAAATGAGAGGCTCCAGATTCATTCTGGATTAAGAAAAATCAAGTTTGATCAAGGAAGACCCCCTGAAAAATCTCTGGTGGGAACCCAACATCTCAGAGCGCCATTGCACTTTCCTGAGTTCTGCATCCAGAACAGCTTCAAGGCAGCTGGCTTCCTGGCTGTGGGCATGGATGATCAGCTGCTCCCTCTTGCCCTCATGCCTTCCCTGCTGTGATGGACTGCACCCTCAAGCTGTGAGCCCAAACTAACCTATCTTTTCTTCAGTTGCCTTTGTTAGCCATTTTATCATAAGACATGGCGTGTAACTACTATGGGCCTGTGATTGTAAATGAGGATTAGGCCCGTCTTGATGAGAAAGCTCAGCCAGGGCCCAGGCATGTTCCCAGCTAATAAGTGTGAATGGCAAGTTCTGAGACTAGCTGAGGCCCTATTGGAAATGCATTTCTACTCTGTTATTTTTTTTAAGACTTTATTTATTTATTATGTATACAGCACTCCATGTATGCCTGCAGGCCAGAAGAGGGCACCAGATCTCATTACAGATGGTTGTGTTGCTGGGAATTGAACTCAGGACCTCTGGAAGAGCAACCAGTACTCTTAACCACGGAGCTATCTCTCCAGCCCCTCTACTCTGTTATTTTAAAGACAATGAAGTCACTAGAAATGTTCACATATACTGTTCTTGCACTAAACACATCTGAATGAAGGATTACTTTCCCCAATACTGGTGCATACTAGCTTCGTGTGTCTGCTGAACAGTCCTCGCATGTTCAAAGTCAGCATCGGGTTGTTGTTGGTACTGCATGGTGCATGCTCCAGTCGCAGAGCCTTAATTTCCAGCATACGTCTGCCTGCTACTAGGGCACAGCTTACCATACTCATAACTCATTTTAGTTTATGATTACACAATAACCGCACACAATGTGAAAGTACTTGATGCTGCGAAACCATACTGTGCTGGTGATGGTAACTGGAAAATGTGTGTCATGTTGTCCAAGGAGAAAAACCCAGCCACCATACAAGTTATCACATGCAGAATTAGAAAGTACGGTGCCAGCAGAACCCTGAGGCTGAATTCCAACTTAGTATCTCTCTTGACGTATTGGAGGCTTCTGTGGTCTGTCGAGTCCTGCAGGTGAGACTGCGAGGGTCAGGAGAAAGTGTCCTCGGACTCTCGCCGCCTCGTGCAGGTGAGCGCAGGTCTTGGTGCCGGTTCGGTAGCCCTGCGAGGCCTGGACGGCACTGCTTCCCTACATCCCTGGGCGGAGACGCAGGGAGTATAGTTTCCAGGTCCCAGCTGAGAACCTCCGCCCTCCTACCAGGCTGTGCCAGGCTTCTGCCCGCATCGCTTTCAGGGTAGGCTGAGGCAGCCCCAGGGGGGCCATCTGTGCCCGGTAGTGCCCCGCCAGTGTACCCCGTTTCACTGCCGTCCCGCACCTGCCCCGCGCCCCGGGTCTGCGGGAGCCGCCGCCGCCTCCCATGCACATGCGCAGTGGCGCCGCCGGAGTCCAGCCTCCGCCTCCGCCGCCGCCTCCCGGTTCCGCAGTCACTTCCTGCAGCTGTTTCCCTGTGGCTCCGCTCCGACCGACTTTTGACAGTCAACCTCCAGCAGCGGAGCGGCTGGCGAGCGCACGGAGTGGTCGTGGAGCCTGGCAGCGGCGCGTGGGGTTGGCCGGGCGGCTGCGGCCTGCCGGTTCCGGTGAGTGCGGAGAGCGGGTCCTCGCCGCTGCGTCCGTGTGTGCGGGTCAGCTTCGCCCGCCCGCGGCGCCCGGCGGGCCACCGAGTCCGATCCCGCAGCCGTCTCGGCGACTCGGTGCTCCCCGGCGGCATCCTCGCGGGACCGGAGTGCGTGTGCGTGCGCGCCCAGCCCAGGAATGGCACACGCGGGGGCGATGCTGCAGGGTCGCAGCTTTGAGTCCTAGGAGCTGAGCCCGGGTCGCCACGGCCTCCTCTTCGTCTCTGCCTCCTTCTGTGATGTAAAACAACCTCCGGGGCTGGCTTTTTTTCCCCTGCCTGCCGCGTTCTGGTGACCTCTGAGTAAGGTTGTCTCTTTCTCTTCTCCAGAATACCCGGGGACAGCCTTCCCTACTTTATGCGGACGCCAGGGACCTGTTCCTGGATTTTCTTCTTTTCCCTGGGTCCATTTCTGCCAAGGGGAGGGCTGTTTGCAATACAACCCGAGAGGAGTAGGCCCCAGCCCAGCCATGGAAACGTGTGCTGTGGTCATTCATTTCCCTTGAACCTGTACATGGTGAGCTGTGATGTTTCTTTAGTATCTTCTCAGTTCCCTTCCAAATTAGGACGTCAAACCCTGTTCTTCCTTCATGTATGCCGTTGCACACGTCCAATCGGATGGATTTTTAAGATCTGAGAAGTATTTTTATATCAGCTTCTAAATTAGTCTCTTAAATTAATGCAGCAGTTTGAACGGATCCGAGTGTTTTGGGTCTCTGTGTTTCAGTTTGTGCATTTACTGACGCTTTGGTTTTATTTATTTATTGCCCAAATGTAATACCTGTTGTGATTGTTGCCTATAGATTTTTTTTTAGGAGAAGGGGCTAGCCTTATGTTGATTATTAACTATATTAGCAGCATTTTTGAGGTTATGAAGATAAAATGTAGTAATGGGTAAGCCTGGCCTGTAAACACCCCCCACCCCACCCCCACCGGGGTTTTGCTCTGTCTTTTGTGCCTCTGTCTTGAGGAGGGCCTTGCTTCTGCTGGAAAGCCATTTGTCACAGTGGGGGCAGCGCATGCTGGGGTTTCCTCAGGTGGGAGTCAGTGTGCCAGAAACAAGCCCAGGCATGTCTGGCTGTAGGCTGATTGAGTTCTCTGTGTATTGCTGATTTTCTTTATTTGGATGTTTTGGTACCCTGCTCTGTCTGTCCTTTCACCATGACCAAACAGCATCGATGACCTAACAGAATCTATATGACAACTTAGTGAATGACAAGGTCAGTTATGACTCAGTCATTAAACTGTTTTAAAACATGGTTTTATTTCTCTAGTTTCATTACCCACCTCCCCAATATCCATAATCATTGTTGCTTTTTGTTTGCCTTTTATTTAGTTGGGAGAAATAATATTGTTTCAGAGAAACTTATCGTTTAAATGTTCCAAATCTGCATCACTTTTCTCTGTGTCTCCAGAGCTAAGGGCAGTTCTAGCTATTCCGGTTAATAAAATGTACTGTTAAATTCTTCAGCTATTCATCTTGCTCTTAACTGTCTGACTTCCCGGTCAGTGGCTCCTCCTCACTGTGTGTTTACCAAATGTGCTAACTAGACTTTTACTTTTTAAAGTTTCCTTGAGTCATTTTAGTAAACCTGTTACTGCCCTATCCTAGACATTTTCATCTCAGACGGAAACCAAACCCCAGCAGCTGAAGACACCACATTCTATTAACCAAGAAAAGTTTTAACAATACTGAGAGCGGAGGGAAGTGTAGACTTTGAAATAAAGATTCTAATTGAGATGGTTGGAATCTAGAAACCTCAAAGGGTGTTTACTGTGGTGGTCAGAACTAAAAGATGCCGTCTGACTTGGGATGCAGGAGGAATCGGGGATAAAGTTGAAGAGGGAGTGGAACATGGTGGGTCTTTTCTGAGGACAACAGAATAGAGAGTGTCTTGGTTTCTTTTTTGTTGCTTTGATAAAATATCCTGACAAAAGCCATTAAGGGGGAAAGGGTTTATTTATTTTGTGGTACTGTTTAAGGCACAGTTACCATCGTGGGGTAGTCTAGGTAGCAGGAACCTGAGGCAGCTGGTCAGACCATCATGGTAGGCTGTCTCATGGGGTCCACAGTCAGATAGCAATGTGAATGTAGAGTTCTATCTCCTGTTGATGCCTTCCACGACCATGCAGTGGTGTTGCACACTTTCCGGTCGGGTCTGCCCTCCTCAGCCTAATTAGGAAAATCCCTCATAGGCATGCCCACAGCCAGCCTAATCTGGATCACCCCTCACCGAGACTTCATCTCTAGGTAATTCCAGACCCTGTCAGGTTGACAATTGAAATGATAACCATCACTGAGTGTATTCTTATTTAGGAAGAAAGTGGAATGATACAAATGACCTAAAAGTCACCATAGGGCTTTGGATAGTGTGGTCCATTAGTTGGTTCAACACTTTCCAGTCTGGATGTTTTATCCTGAGTAGGTGAGAAGATATTTTGATTTTACAAGGTCTAAGACTGTATGGAGTAGAGTCACCATCCCAAGGCCTTTAGTCAGTGCCCTGAGTAGTTTTGAGGGGACCCTGAGAAGGCTGGCCTGGGTGTGGAGTGTTGTGTTTTTGGCACCAAACAGGTGGTTGTGTGCGTTGGAGGACGTGGGTGTAGTGTTGCCAGATTATCCTTTCGTTGCTAGATTCTGTGAAGCTTTTGATTTTTAAATATTGACAACCAATTCAACTTAAAAACAAAAGCAAAACAAAACTGTCTTCCAAACAGCACATTTTGCCATCTGAGGTCCACAGGCTGTTTCTGTCAACTCCACCTTGCAGAGCCTAACTATTCGTTGGTTGCTCAGAAGGAGACTTACTGCTGCCCTCTCCTAGATTATGCTTTAAAGATCTGATAGGCTGTGCAGGGCTGTAATTCTAGCACTTGGGATGTGGAGACAGGAAGATCAAGAGTAGCAGGGCAAATTTAAGGCCATCCTGGGCTATGTGAGACCCTGTCTTAAAAACAACAACAAAACCAACAAACAAAACGGGGTCTGGTGATGTGGTTTAGTGGGTAAAGTTCTTGCTGTACCTCTTGGGTGTACACATGTGTACAGGTGGAAGACTTGCTTGTGCCATGGTGCATATATGCACTCACACACAGTAAAAACAAGTAAGACAAAAATACCTAGAAGAAAAGAAGGGATTCTTAAAAGAGGTGATACTCTTTTCCACTCTATGATATCCTTTGGGTGGAAGAGTTTCTTGCCTCTGGGTTTTCTCTTGCTTGTTTGTTTTTGGTTGTGCATATAACCATCAGGCAGGAGGGATTTGGATGACCTCTGATGTCAAGTTCCGGCTTTGTGACTTTTCAGCTTAATTGGACATGGATGCAATGCTGCTAATGCCTATGGCCAGAGGCATGGCATTTGGAACTGTGCCCAGCAAAATAAAAGCAACTCTCTGAAGCTCTTCTCAGGGGAAAACCTTATGTCAGTGGAATAACCAGGCAGGGAAAGTCTGCTAAGCTAAGACTAAGGAGAGATGCCCCAAAGGTGGGTTTGGAGAGGAGAAAGACTATGGTGTCATTTCTATGTCATATTGCTGAGATCTCATTTTCATTTCCTTCCCTGCTTGTTTTAGGTTTGAAGACGCCGCCCCTCACCACCCACTGGACTATGCCCGAGGCTTTCCTGCCTGATGATTCTCTTGCAACAGGCCGGGCTTCCTCCACCTAAGCGGCCCTCGACCTCTCCTCCTATGTCAGTGGCTGCCAGGTCCACAAGGACCTTGCAGCTTCCGCCACAGAAGCCTTTTGGGCAGGAAGCATCCTTGCCTCTGGCAGGGGAAGAGGAGCTAGCTAAGGGAGGGGAACCAGACTCTGCCCTGGAGGAGCTGTGCAAGCCCCTCTTCTGCAAACTCTGCAATGTCACCTTGAACTCTGCTCAGCAAGCCCAGGCACACTATCAGGTAAGAGGAGGAAAGGAGAGCAGCTGTCAGTGGGGTGAGCTTTCCGGGTGCTGTTTGGTTAGATGGTGTCAGTGGGGTGAGCTTTCCGGGTACTGTTTGGTTAGATGGTGTCAGTGGGGTGAGCTTTCCGGGTGCTGTTTGGTTAGATGGTGTCAGTGGGGTGAGCTTTCCGGGTGCTGTTTGGTTAGATGGTGTCTTAGGGTTTCTGATGCTGTGAATAGAAATCATGACCATGACAACTTTTATAAAGGAAAACAATTAAGTGGTTTACAGTTCAGAGGTTTAGTCCATTATTGCCATAGTGGGAAGCATGGTGGCATGTATGCGGGTAGACATGGTGCTGGAGAGGTACCCGAGAGTTCTACATCTGGATCAACGGGAAACAGGAAGCACAATGCCAGGAGGGCCTCAAAGCATCTGGGACCTCAAAGCCCACTCCCAGTGACACACTTCCTCCAACAAAGCCACGCCTACTTCAACAAGGCCACACCTCCAAATAGTGCCGTTACCTTTCGAGCCTATGGGGCTGTTTTCATTCAAACCACCCTAGATGGTACCAGTTGGGTGGGCATTTGCAGGCTGTTTGGTTAGATAGTGTCAATGGAGCAAGCATTTTGGGTGTTGGGTGGAGAAGTTGACAATGGGGTGAATATTTTGGGCACTGTTTCACTACAAATTGCCTCTCCAGGTATGACCAATGGAGCTTGGAAAACTCAGAAGAGGTAGAAAATAGAGTACCATGTTTTACACAGTGGGTTCTGCCCATGGTCCCAAGGAGAAATGTACTACATTAATTCAGTGTAAAATTATTCTGAAGTTTGTACTACTTTATCAGTTCAAGGCCACCTACCTCATGACTTTTACTTCAGACTTTTCCTGTGCACCCTATTATAGCTGAGGCAAAAAAAGGAGAATATTATGGTATTCAGTTACTAAGTTTTACCTTCATCATAAACATACCTGAGTTTCTTTAAGTCTTCTGAGTGAACTGATACTGAATATTAAGGTTTAAAGCATTTATCTCTATGTAGAATAGCTTGTGGAAAAGGCAGTTTTAAAGGGTATTATTGTCTAAAAACAAATGGGGAGCTAAGAGAGGATATAGGGTTTTGTTTTTAAACTTTTATTTTATGTTTAGCTTTGTGTTTTTGTGTATATGCACATGTGCATGTGGGTGTCTTCAGAAGCCAGAAGAGGATGTTGTATCCCTTGAAGTTGGAGTTGCAGGTGGTTGTGAGCCATCTGATAGGGGTGCTGGGAAGCAAACTGCGGAACTCTGCAGAGCTGCAAACACTTTAACTGCTGAGGCATCTCTTTCCTGGTATTTCTTTTTATTTGATGCTGCTGTCTGTATACAATTTGATGTTTTTCCTTTTGGAGAAGAGAGACCTGAAAACAGAAACCTTCTTTGAATGTAGGCTATCTTCTGGATAACTTTTGATTTAGTTTTTATCACTGCTAAGATCACATGGCTTAAAGCTGCGGGTTATAAAGTATTTCTTCTTGCCTGAAATTATACTTTTCCATTGCGACCTTGTCTGCTTTCAAATTGACCTGGCTGAGGTGTCAGAGAATGGGGAAAAGACAGACATCATCTAGAAAAGCTGGGATCCAGTGGGCAGTGATCTCTGATGGGAATACATCAGAATGCAGTGGCCAGGAAACTCAGCATTATAGCAGGACAAGGAGGAGGCAGGTTAGCTACTCTTGGGAGGGGGAGTCCATGAGGGAGTGGTTTCAGGCTGCAGTCATCATTGTGTTGATTCCTTCTGCACACCCTGCAAGCATTAGTTCTTACATTCAGAGGAATAGTAAGGCCTTGCCTTGCCGTTCCCATGATTCTGAGGCACTGGGCCCTTGACATAGCCGTGCTCATCCATGTCAATAAGACATGGTCACTCAGGAGTTCATCAGCTCCTCATACTTTTCTCCAGATCTAAGTTTTTGCTTGCTTACTTTTATTTTGATCCTAAAGATGGGTAATGGAATATTGTGCCTCCTGTTACAAACACCTCCTTGGGAGGAAAAGGTCTGCTGCTCTGCCTTGTTCATGTCTGTCTGCTGCCAGCAGCAGAGCAGGATCCATTGCAGTGTGCCTTTGCACAGCGGTGGTTAACCAAGGCTTCTGTGTTTCTTCCCCGTTTTCTTCCGCAGCCCCCCCCCCCCCCCGTGCTGCTCCCCATGATGATGGCCAGATACTGGGGGCTGCTTTTCCTGTCTTCTCTCCAGGTGGAATCTGTTATGATGACCCATCTCAAACAGACACAAATGTAGCTCACCTCTATATTTATTCCTGTGAGATGTTTTTTGTAAAGAGTCATTTGCAAAAAACAAGGATAGTTAAGATTTTCAGTTCTCCGAAGCCCGTTATCTTTATTGGGCATACCCTTGCTTTTTTTTTTTGCCTTCTGCATAGTCATTACCTTCTAAGGGGAATGAGGCAATGTTTGATTTTAAATGTGTCTGTGTGGGTTGTACTTGTACGTCAGGTTGCTTCTGTGACTCTTGTGTTCACACTGTGATAGAACCTTATGGTTTTTCACAGAGAATCCAGTCTGATGGAAACACCATTGGATTTAGACTTACACTACTAATGAGATCAACCTTTTAAAATTACACATACTTATGCGTTTGCTCTAAACTTCTTAGCTGATAAGATTTGTAAATTATTCCTGTCCCCTCCGTGATGCACTGAGTAACCAAACTAGAAATAAGAAAACGAGGAAAAAGTTCGCAGTAATACAGATTTTAAGTGGATAAGTTGGGGGAGAAGTACAGCCTGTTGCAGAGCAGAAGCCAATAGCCGAGAGTAAAGAAAGAGGAGAGAAGCTTCAGGAGGGTGTGGCGGATGCGGAAGCTTCCCAGCACTTTCGAGGTGGAGCGCTGGGGAGTGGGAAGCCAAGGAGACCCTCAGCTGCTGAGTGACTTTGAGGTTCGCCTGGACTACCTGAGATCCTGTGCCCCCACGCTCCCCAAAGAAAGTAGAGCAGGCGGAGAAGCGGTGAGTGCTGACAGGCGGAACCAAAGGTGTGTGATGAAGAAAGGCGGAAGGAAAGCTCTACTTCACGATGAAAAACCCTGCTTTGTAGTTGTTATCCGGGGGAGATCGTGGGCCTGTTATTTCAAGCACACGTGTGTAAGGGGGAGATCGTGGGCCTGTTATTTCAGGCACACGTGTGTAAGTGGAAAGGCCCCGTGTGAATGCACAATTCACTCTCTGAGTTACCTAACCCTCTTTAGTGAGCTTCGTATTGCTCAGTGTGGTAAACAGCCATTGTTGACGGAGTCTGACTGTATCACATTCCAGTACTCAGGATACAGCGGTGATGGCTCTGCAAACCCCCCCCCCGCCCCCCCCGCGGCCTCGTCGCCATCTCTCCTGGCATCTCGATGCTCCCAATCAGGGGCTGCCTTCTCGAGCCATGGGTGGTCATCACAGATGGTTTATACCCCAGGCTTTTAGCCCAGTCATTTAGCTTTGAAGCAGCCTCAGCTGAGTCATTTATGTTTTAACGAGGCTATCTAATTTTTCAGTTTTAAAATTATGGCTTTGGTTATAACTTAATTTAAGATCAAAATTTTGGAAGAGAAATGAGCTTTCGTTTTATTGAATTTGTCTGCATGCTCGGATTACTTAGTGCAGGCCTGGCATGAAAGAATATAATGGGATTTCATCAGCATAAATACCCAGAGGAAGAGCTGTGTTGAGGAGGAGAGGAATAAAAAGTACTTTTACATTTGTGTTTGTGTAGGGGGCAACTCAGGTTATCAGACTTTATCTGCTGAGCCATCTTGCCGGCCACATTAAAAAAAAAAAGGCAAATTACATAAATAAGGTTTACTAAGCGTCCACCTTGAAAGTCAGAAATGTACATGCTAATTTGCATATTCATGTGCAAAAGGACTAGTTAGTTACACGGAGCGCTTTTCCGGAGTTCGTCATAAAGGTAGATAGTGTTTGGTATCCAGTTGAGTGTCACGTTAGCTACGCTGATGGGAGAAACTATGCGTGGTTTTAGACCTGTGATGCCAGATGCAGTGGTCTCCAGGCACAATGAAGAGAGTGGGGACCGAGATGGCGCAGTGGGCCCGTGCTGTGCCAGCTCAGAGACCCCATCGCAGGCCTCCACCTAACAGTTGGGTGTAGCTCTCACCTGTAACCCCAGCCAGCCTTGGCGGCTAAAAGAGTGGGAATGGAGGAGTGGAGACTGGAGGATGCCAGGGACTTGTTGCCCAGCCAGTCTAGTCAAAAGAGCGAGTTCCAGATTTAGCAAGACCCTACGTGGAAACGATGAGGTGGAGAGTAACAGAGGAGCACACGCTTTGCACCAGCTGTCTTCTGCATGCTCAAGAACGAACACACACTGTTATTGGCTCTTCCTGTATATATTAACACAGCAGAAAACTTCCCTTTAGTCTTTCCTCTTAGCCTTTCTTCTTCCTTCTGCTATTTCCAGAGTTTGGCCTGGTGTAAATGAACCATAAAAGGTCTTCATTTCTCATGCATCCTCAGCCTGCAGTATTTTGGTTCCCATTTCAGTGTTCCACAGATTTAGATACAGTTTAATATCAACTCTCCAGGTTTGCATGGATGTCAGTATTTCTAATCTCAGCTTATTTTTTAATTAAAAATCGACTATTATTTTGTGTGTACATACATATGTGCTCTGGCTGCATGTATATCTGTGTACTCTGTGTTTACCTGGTGACTGCCGAGGTCAGAAGAGGATGCAGGTTCCCCTGGGACTGGGGTTACAGAGGAGTGTGAATCACTGTGTGGGTTTTGGGGACCATACCTGGGTCCTCTGCAAGAGCAAGCACTCCTAACTGCTGAGCCAACTCTCCAGCCCTCAGCTAATTTTTATGTTTGCAAATTTTTCTTATCCAAATGAACTAGGAATGGACAAAATACCCTTTGGGTTTAGGGTGGGTTTGTATATTTTTATAAGTTTTCTAGGCACTTTGGAATCTATACAAGATCTGGGCTGGCATCCTGACTC